TTAAACTGAACCCAAACAAAGAATATATCCTGGTTTTAAAATGTACTGAACAGTATTCAACAGAGTACTAATGTACTCCTGTCTGTCAACTTCTATGGGAAAAAAGGAAAACGCCCACATACATACACTAATGCACATGCACTAATTATTTACACAATAAAGTGATGGTACAATTGAACAATTATCATCCAACCACACTCCAATAATGATATGGCATGTCTATAAATGGGATCTGGTCTTGTAAACTGTAAACTTTTAACAACATGTAAAGATTGAAGTGTCAGCAAGTCTTTTCAAAGCAGAAGATTGTGGACCCGTGTGTTTCAAACAGAAACACTTGTTGCTGTAATCTCCTTTAGTTTTTCCCCCGTCTGTATTCTCTGACGTAAAGGTGTTAGAGGTGTAAGAAAAAAATAAAGGTTGTTAAAAAACCTGTAGCCTAAATAATGCCTCAGGAAGTCCCTGAAGTTCATCAAGGACTCTACACATCTACACAACAGCCTGTTCTCCCTAATGCCATGAGGCCGGAGGTACAGCACACAGCAGCAGACTACAGGACAGCTTCTTCCCCCCGGCTATAAGGCTTTTCAATAGATGGGTGGAAAACAACAAATGCAATACAACCCTGTGCGCCATTCTTGCCTTTGTATATTTCTACATAATTTCTAATTCACATTTTCCCCATTTGTATTGTTATTTAGAATGTTGTTTTTATTTCTGTGTGCTTTTTTTTAACATTATTTTATGTTATTATAGTTTTTACATTTTATATTTATCCTATCTATCCTTTCAAATGGTGCCTACCCTCAAAAGATTTTTCCCATTTGTACCCATAGGTTTCTGACAATCTGACAAGCACCTTGAATCTTAAATCATGACGTTAAAGAGAGAATCCTCTTACCATAAACCAAGAACTGGCTTGAAACAGGTAGAAAGTGTAAACTGTTTGGAGTCGTCTCAATGTTCTCAGTGTCTACAAACAATGTATGAGAACGGTCTGAAATGTCTCTGCGTGTCAGAAAGCAAGACAACTTAAGATGGATGTTTCAATTACAATTTGAAAAGTTGTTCAATCAATGTAGTTTTATCAGTGTTTTTAAAGTCAAGGACTACAGTACAGTACTGTGTGTCTAGCTCGTTCATTTCAGGACATTGGCTTGAAGGAGGACTTCATCCGCTGGCTACTGACTGTAGGAGGGTGATTTAAACATATTTACCTAGTGGAGTATATATCAAATAGTTCACCTAGAAAAATAACATGAGTATAACATAAATACTTTTAAATGTCTCCTTACTCTTTCATACATTGAGGAGTTTGAGTCAGGAAACAGAGCTCCCAAAGAACATAGAAAAGTATCTGTGAGTTTAGCCCCGAACTCTGAAGAAAATATAAACATGTTTGTTAACCACAACGGTAAGAGTGACCAGTGGTTGTAATGCATTCAAAAGGCTGAATTGGTAATATTATTGAAATAATGTGATCCAGCATTGTGCTTTAGTTAAGGTGATGTTTTGTGGCTGTTGAGCCAACCATGATAATTCATTCACTCACTCTTCTTATGGAAATATGTGACTCATTAACTTGCTTGATAAATTCCTATCTTCATTAACAGGTTGCTTATTTTAGCTTTATGATGTTGACGCTAAAGTAAAGTGGATTTATTAGAAATGTTGCAGCTACCTGCTGCACGGCTAAAGAAGGTTGATGAATCCTAAATAAACTACAAAGCTCTGAAAACCAAACCTGAGAGGGCCTGAAGAGTCAGGTGATTATTCTCAGAAGGTCTGTTAAGGGCAACCCTTTTCACATCAACCTTCACAAAGTGATTTGGTACAGAAATAGCTTTAATGGTGATTTTGAATTGTGGATCAGATTTTTTTGTCCCAAACTGAGAGCTGAGCCCTTCAATGTGACTGTGTGAGCATATTCATGCCTCCAAACACGCATGCACATTAATAAGTTCCCTGTCAATACTTCCACAATACATTGCAACATATACGTCATTGTGTAAAAATAAAAATATATACCCTGTTAAAAGTTTAAGTGTTTATTCAGGATTGTAACTCATACCAGGAAACTCTTTTCACAGTCTTTGTGACTAATTCACCTTTTTTCAAAAGCTGGAGTGGAGTGACAATATTTGAAAATGTTTGTACAAAAGGGCTGTTGAAATGATTCACGTCGCGCACCCATGTCAACACACAAAAAACCCACACATCCCTATTCTATTGTTTACTCTTTTTGAGTCCACATCATTTAAGAAGAAAATGTTATAAGAACTAAAGGGATTTAATTCAAAATCACATAAAGTAAAGAAAATGTTGAATTGAAATTTGTATCATTTTTATGATTATCATGTATGGAATATATATGGGACTTTAATTTATCTCTTGTGAACTAAAAATAAAATAAATAAATAAATTATTTCTGTCTTTTTTTAAAGATTTTTTTGTGTGCCTTTTTGTGCCTTTATTGTAGAGATAGAACCGTAAAACAGAGAATGGAAATCAGCAGAGAGAGAGAGAGGGGGGGGGGGGGGACGACAGGAGCCACAAGTCCCGCCCACTTGGAGGACCAAGGCCTCAATACATGGGCACTAAGCACTTAGCTCTTTCTCTTTAAAGAATTTGAAATATATTCACTATTACTGAGCACACTTTGTCAGGTGTAAGGACCAAAACACCAAGAAAATCACAAAAAGCAATCTAGTAAGAAAGAACATTTACTTGAATACCCGACTAAAGTGTTTGCTTGTTTTTCGGTACTTTGCGTTATAATTTTTTATTTGATTCTATTTTATATGAATTTTTCTCTACTTGAAAAAAACAACAACATCATCTTAAAAGCAAGGCACAGAAGATAAAATCTTGACGTTCACAGACTAAACAAATGGAGTCACTGGTGATAGTTTTATTGTTAACATTTTTTTTTACAGCCTGTAATCTGATAATATAGCACAGTGTTCTGCATATGAACGTTTTCTTACCTTTTGCTACTCTTCACACACTGTGTGTTGTATTTTTCACTAGCTCTACAGGCTGAAGGAATACTTTCATGGCTTTTTGTTATAACTTCAAACCTTTCCTGACTTTGAACAAAAGTCGTTCCATTGACTGCACCAAGAAGCCGGACATTCTGTCAGCTCAATTTTCTGTTGTTCATTTATTATTATTGTTCCCAACTTTCTAATAAATAATAATATGACATTAGAAACAAAGCCGTTGTCAAAGTACCTCATAGGGAGCTGAGCATTCCCACGGCTAAAATCCCTGAACAGCATGTTGTTACCAGAGGTACACAATCTCACACAACAACAAAAGACAAGATGATTGTACTTTAAGTTGTTATTTAACTGACTTTGAATCTATCTGAATTCAGAAATCCTTGTAAGACTTTCTGGTATACTTTATAAATGAATGAAGGTCATATTGCTCCTTGTTTTCCTTTAAATAGTAATTACCCTAAAATAAGAAGATCTGTCTATGATAAGTACAGATTCAAATCACATGAAGGGATCCTGTAGGTTGTGTTGACAAATGTCAGATCAAATTAAATTGAATAATGACATAAAATCAAAGCCAATTCACTTACCAAATCAACCTGGAGTCCTTTAGGTGCTTCAAATGAAAGTGTTTAACAAGTGTTTCTTCTGAAACCTGATACGCAGGTGCAGCAGTTAAACTCCTGAAGGGTGTGTTGTTCGACGGCGACGACACAGGTGATGATGGCTGACTCCTGTGGGCTGCAACAAGGGGGCGGGACATAGCTGGCTCTTCTGCTTCAGGTGTATTGGTCATGCATAATGCTATCGTGTTTATGAGATTTAATCTTGGTGTAAAAAGAGACAAAAAAAGAGGAAGTTGACACAAAGCCTAAAGTTACATTTCATTAATACCCAGCATTTTTCACCTACCTAGTACTGGTTTTTGCATACAGTACAGTGACTTCCTGCTCTGTGTACAGAAAAGCATTTGGACCTTTTTCTGAATCAACAGCATAGTTGTGTATGAGAAGTTATATAATATATATTATTTGGAATTGTAAACAGCTAGTCAGAGAAACTCAAGCAAAGGTTATACCACACCCAACCCAGTCATCCTGAGAAGACTACAACAATGAGGGTACAATAAAAACAATTCAGCCACATGGAAAAAGAAAGTATTTTAAAACTTTAGGGAAAAACATTTAAAAAATAAATCTTATGCATTATTCAAGGTTTGTGTGTCAATCCGTTAAATGCCAAATAAGAAGCCATTGTGAAAAATAGACTGTAAACACACCATTGACTGTTTCTGAATACAAGCTTAGAGCTGTCACGTGTGTGTGCCAGTGCATGAAAACAGAGGAACACACCATGACAAAGCATACTCAGATCAGGTTGAACTAGTTTTTTTTTTTTTGTATTACAAGCATGACAAAAATTTTATATTCTATAAGTAATTGTTTCACAACAAAGGGCGCACCTGTACCAGTACAGAGAACAGAACCGCAGCCCCCACAGGATTTATTAGTTGATTTTTTTTTCACAATTTGACGGAGCAGATCTTCTCAAATGTTATTACTGAGTCACAAGAAAGGCAGTCTGATGTTTAATAACTTTTTAAGAATAGCCTTTTGTTTAAACCTTTAAGATGTTGAAACATTTGAAAGAAAATATGGCAGAGATCATAACTTGATATGTCTCTTGCATTTCACTCTCACAGCTTGTTAGGCAGTTGATAAAAAAAAAAACTCTTGATGAAAAAATATCTGTATGGACAACAAGTGGTTTTTTTTTTTGGCATTCATGAAAATGGTATTGATTTCACACTGGGGGATAATCGCACTTTGGATTGACTATGTAAATACAGTATGTTGCCATGTTATGCTATACTATCCAGTAGATGGGTGTAATGCGTCGCTTATGAATGCCAGCAGAAGAAGAAGAAGAAGCAGGAACAGTTTCAAAGCATGCTTTTGAGAGTGATAACCGGTTTCCCCGCTAGGTGGCAGCACGCAGGTTGAGGATACTCGACTCCGCTTCCGGTTCGACGAAGACGTAGTTATGAATGGAGTCGAATAATGTTTCATACCACTCAAATACACATGTGAGGGTTTACCTTCGTTGTCTTTCTGTCATCTAACGCAATGCAGTTCCATTTGCCATCGTTAACTTTTACGACGCTTGACTGCCAGCTGGCTGTGCGAACATAAAAACTTCGTAAGATAATGTTGTCATTGAGTCGGAGGTGTGTTCGGTGTTTGACAGCGGTCAGACACACGCGGGTGAAACTCCAGGTAAACACTGACGTCAGAAGATGCTGCTCCGCGGTTCAGGGTGAAGTGAGGGTCCGGTTTGCCCCAAGTCCGACAGGTGAGGTCTTCCCCTTGAAGTAAACCAGAGCCATCATCAATGTGATGAGTAATATCGGTGCTTCCCTATAATGCCATGTCAAAAAGAACTGTGTTAGTTTAAGTGTGAGTGAAAATGTTTGTCTTTGTTATTCGTCTCTGCATCTGAAACAGTCCTTTAGGTTCAGATCATTTTGAGACCTTTATTGTCATTGTAGTGTCAGCTGAGCATACACCAAAGTGCCACTCTTATTTGGTGCAAACAACAAAACCATAGGATATAGAATTTAAAAAAAAAAAGATAGCATTGATAAGTGATAATGACTTTCTTAGTTCTCCTTTTTCTGTGTATGGTGTGCATATGGCCTCGGGAAAGAAAAATCTGAATCTTGAGGGTGCCTGTTTTGGGTGACCCGTAGCCCCCACAAAGAGGGCAACAAACCGGAGTCCCTGATGATGTTGATAGTTCCGCCGAGGTAGAGTGAGGCGAGGACACCCTTCAGGGCAGCAGGCGGTTCGGGGATCTTTAAGGCGGTTATTACTCCTCTTTTAATGATTTTGTAATCTGCAGCAGAGCGGTCTGCATACCACACTGAGTTACAAGTATGTGAGTTGCCTGGAAGGCCACCAACAGATTCCTCTTTGTTCAGTCGAAATGTTTTATAACCATGTTCTGTGCTGCAGGTTTCTTACACCTTGGAGGCCTCCGGACTGCTCTATACAATTACATTTTTGCCAAAAAGTATGCTGGCTCTTTCGTCCTGCGCCTGGAGGACACTGATCAGAGCAGACTGGTCCCAGGAGCTGCAGAGTCTATAGAAGACATGCTGGAGTGGGCTGGTAAGAAACAGTGATGTGATCCATGAAATGTATTGAAGCATGGATCCATAATACTATGAGTACAGATAAAATGATACCAAATGATTTTTAAACTCGCCATTACCTCTAGGTATACCTCCAGATGAGAGCCCTCGTCAAGGTGGGTCTGCTGGTCCATACCTGCAGTCTCAGAGACTTGACCTCTACAGACAGACGGCCCAAAAGCTTGTGGAGAGTGGACATGCCTACTACTGTTTCTGCAGCCCGCAGAGACTTGACCTGCTGAAAAAAGAGGCCTTAAGGAGCGGACAGACACCAAGGTGGCCAAATTACATCGATGCACATACGGTTTAAAATTACACATCGTCACAATCATATTCCCACGGACATAAAAACAAGTGAGGTGCTCCCATACTTTTTCTAGTGGAATTGAACATAAAAATGTATTTTACTAACTGCAGTTTTATATTATTATTAATAGAAGCCATGAAAATAATAATGATGATAATAATTACAAGGCAAAATTGTTAAAGCCTTGCACATATTGTTAAATTATAAATCAAACACCAAAACCCTTATATAATAAATAAATAAAAAAATCAAGGATTAAGACAAAGGCTTGACAAAAGTGAGTTTGAAGAATAGAATTAAAAGAGGAAACATAAGTTTGCCTGCATATTTTGCGCACTAATAAGCCTGTATTTCTGTGATATTATTGCTCTGCTGACCGACTTACTACTCTAAATATTACCCTAACCCTAACTCAGAAACAGGATTCTCTTTTGTTGTCTTTTCACCTGTTTTATTTTACCCATATTTTAAAAAAGTATAGTGTGTGTGATGGTAAAACACGTCTTGTTGACTTTTGCAAGCTAGCAGGTCCATACTTTCAAGGGGCTAATTACTTATGCTATAAGATTGGTACTACTGTAGGCCTGCACCTTATGCGGAAAATATGCAACGTGCGATAACATTGTTCAATATTAAGATAAAGATATGAAGTGCGATAAATAAATACAAATGATAGATTGCATATTAAGTATAACTCAGTTTTTAAGTTTATCTGCTGTTCTTCATGCTTCACACATTAACTGTGTTTACAACAGGTTTCTCCTGAGTCCAAAATAAATCCAGAAAGCTGTTTTGTTTTCACCACTCAATTGTCACTAACTAATCTGAAGCTAGCTAAACGCTAGCTTGAGCTCATTTGACTGCATCAAAAATAGTGTTAAAGCATCTGTCTATAATCCCCTGGTCTCCATCCAACAGGTAAAATGTACGCATGCTGAGTGAGAACACCTACAAATACATTTGATTTGTTCTTGTGATATATTCAGACTTTTGCGATATGCTTATTGTGAATGCTTGTGTCATATTGATGAAATTGTGCATTATGTCCAGAGAAGACTCCACATTGAAGTCTATATCTGAGGCTGTTTTATTACTGCTAAACATCTCTACATTCAACCAGGATCCGGATGTTTACGTGGCTGTGTGTCCCTCTCTTCTAAGGTATGACAACAGGTGTCGTCATCTTAAGGCCCAGCAGGTCCAGGAGAAACTGGATGAAGGAGTTGCACATGTGATCCGGTTTCGTCTGGCAGAAGGTGTGGAGCCCTTCCAGGATATGGTCTTTGGTTGGACTCATCATGAGGTGGCCCAGGTCAGACGTGTTGTGATTTCCACTTGTGGTTCAGTGGGGTCTGCACCTGATGATACCCCTGTCTCAACAAGCCAGAAGCTGTTGTGGCTTTTGCATTTTCTCCATTAAACTGAATTTAATGTGAATCCAAGTTCTCTGAAGTTGCAAACATGATTCAAACGCAGTTCTTTGTTTTGAATCTAGACTTAACGTGAAATTTATACCCTCTTGTCTTCTTTTTCTTCAGGTGGAGGGGGACCCTGTAGTGATAAAAGCGGATGGTTTTCCCACCTATCACCTCGCCAACATAGTAGATGATCATTACATGAGTATCAGTCATGTGCTGCGGGGCTCTGAGTGGCTCATTTCCACCTCCAAACATCTTCTCATGTACGGCGCTCTTGGGTGGAAGCCGCCCACATTCGGACATCTGCCGCTTTTGATGAACAAAGACGGAAGTAAACTGTCCAAAAGGCAGGGGGATATATTCATTCAGAGCTTCCAGAGAGATGGAATCCTGCCAGAAGCCCTGCTGGACATCACAACCAACTGTGGATCTGGATTCAACAGTGAGTGTCGAAGGACTCGTTAGAGAGGGATGAGAGAGAAAAGTGAATTAGAAGTAAAGTCAAAGAACTCAACAAATGCATGCATAGCATTTGAGTCAGAGGTTTTAAAAAAATCTCAGAAGGGGTTGATATTTTGCAGTTACATATCATTGAGTTATTCATGTTGTTTTTCAGACAATCACATGGGGCGGACGATAGATGAACTCATCTCTGAGTTTAATCCCTCAAAGATTACGACACATTCTGCTCTGTTGGACCTTGACAAACTGCCAGAGTTCAACAGGTAAGTCAGTACTCCCATTGTCTTTGTCTCATTTCTCTACTGCGTTACTGTGCTTTCCGAAATAACTGGTCATTTAAGCATCGATGAGCCCCCCTTTCCTGAGCATATTCATGGCTTTTCCAGAGAAACATCCTCACAGTTATTACCAATAAATCATTATGAAACTGGGTGCAGATCTTCAATCTCAGAGGTGATATTTCATCGACTGATTTTCTGTGCACCAATTTCCCACTGGATGAATAACATTAGGTTTATCAGTGCAACCACCATCAGCTCAGTTCTACATTGAGCTTCGAGAAATAGTTCGATGTTTTTGACAATAGTTCTATCCTCTGTAAATACTGTAAAAACCAACACCATTTACCTCTTGTTAGAATAGCTACCTGATCCATAACAGTATATATCTGAACACTTTACACCCTCCATTGCATTATTGTTTTTCTACAAGTGTTGTTGTGTTTTTATATCTTAAAACCTTTATATTTTATCAGTAGGCTTGTATTAAGTAGTTTTATTTTTCCTGTGTATGTGCTAACTTTGTGTACCTCATTCTTGTTTTCATTGTAGTTTGTACATCACTTCCTATGTTGATACATGCGTATCTGTACGCTTGACATGAAAAAGTACCATGACAACACAAATATGATGTGTGTTGTTATTGTATTACGACCAGTAAGAGATGATGATGATGTTTAAATCTAACCATTTCTTAAAATGTCTACTGTACACAAACTATTTGCTAGCTTTACAATTTGATAACTCATTTAGCATGGACTCTCTCAGTTGTCAGCCTCGGACATAACCACATTTTTTGTTTACCTGAATTTTGGTGTTATATGTATCTAAAAATGCTAAGCTATGCCTAAATATCTTCAATCATCTTACAGTTTCTTTTATTTTGGTGTGTGATTTACACTCCTAAAAATATACAGCTATAGCTTTTCCTTTTTAAAGCTTGACTACATGACTTATATATCAGTAATCTCTCTTATTGTGGCAGAATCCACCTGAAACAGTGTATTGAAGACGAGGCGCAGTGCTGTTTGCTGATTAAAGATCTGCAGGAGCAGATTCAACGTGCCTTCGCAGCAGACATCCAGGATAAAGAAGTACTGCATGAGGATTACATTAGACGGGTACTGCATCTCCGTAAGGTAACAAAAAAAATAGCAACTGAACAAATATTTATTCAACATTTTGAATATGTGTTCATACCATATCTTCAACATGCTGAATAGTTGATGTTTAATGATTGATGGCTTAAAGAAGGTTTACAAATCTCTGCATTGACTCTTACTGCATTCAGAGGTAGTTAAATATCAATATTTCTGACAGATAGATGTTTGAAATATCTGTTTTTGTTCTCTTGATGTTGCTGTGGATTCATTTTGAGTTCTGAGCAGAAAAACTGGGATGATTTTTTTTAGGCTAGGCGAATATGTTACCTTCAATGATGTAGAAGCCATACAACAAATTTATATCAGCAGGTGTGAATTCCTCAAACCATCATTTTTTTAAGCAGACATTTTTGTCCTAAGCGACGTGCGTCTGAGTTCTTGTCATTTTTTGTCATTTCATGAATAGAAAAAAAGAATTGCAGCAAGACACTGATTAGTTTTAGTTGCTGACCTTTCTATCTGTTAGACCCATCGTGGCTTCCTGCTGACATTTTTTTTTATCCTTCTCCTCTGTCTCTCCAGTAATACTGAAACCGTTCTCTTCCACTCTCCACAGGGTCACATATCCTTCACAAAGGAACTTGTAAGTCCCTCATACGCCTACCTGTGGGTCCGTCCTTCCTTCTCCAGCCAACAGGTGGCAGCACTTACTACAGAAGCTCAGCACATTGCTTCATTAGTGCTGAAGTATGTAGCTTTTATAACTGTGTGTCTCACTATACATTTAAGCTACCCTTTCAGCAGGATTTTGAACATTTCTGTGTCTGTGTGTTGCAGATTAATATCTGAGAGAGGCGAGGAGCTGGCTGTGGATCGACTCAATAAAGATCTAAAAACTGTGGCTAAACAAACCAGAGCCACAAATTACAGAGAAGTGATGAAGCTGATCCGCCTGACTCTCAGTGGTCTGCAGGTACAACACATCATTTTATTTGTTGTGACTGATTATAATACAATCACTACAGCTTGTCATGTCAGAAATGGATATAGCAGAGTTAAAATTAACTTCAAACTAACTTCCCCAGCTGTGTGTGACTGACTGAGCTAGTTACAAACCGCTGCCTTTACTGCCCTCCAGTTAACCAAATATCATATTTGCAGGCTGACTGAGTTTAATTTGTAAAAGGATTTGTATTTATTGATTATTTTGCCCCCAAGCAGCGAGTTTTATACTCAAGACTGTGCTTCATATGTGAGATGAGTTGTGTGACACTTTTTGTAGATCTAGCGTGAGCTACATGAAATCTAACAAATAAGTGAGAAAACTGAAGACACTTGTATCCACTGGGACAACAAACTCCATGTTTAAAGAAAAAAAACAGAGTTAGGTTAAAAATATAAATTAAAAAAAGGCAGCCAACGAGAGCAGCGCTTTAGCTCAATCTGCCCTGCTGCCTGAGGCTTATGGCGAAAGGTTCCATTACGCTCAACTTTTATTATGTTGGCTTCATTTTTGGCAGAAAAAGAAGAATACATACAAAAAAACAGGATATCTCTGGTTAACTGAATATTTTTTTTTAGTTAGGAGTGCAAAGTTAACCAAAAGTGTAACATGTAAATAGAAAAATTTGTGAGTAGTTTTTATCTGATTATGAAACAGACTGACATTGCTATTGATGCTTATTCATTACTGTAAATGCAAATAAGACCCTCTGCGTAAAGACAGGTGTTTGAAACTGATCCTGTTGGTATGTGTCAAACAAAGTGATTAAAAACTACGCTGCAGAAATAGCTTTTATTTACATTTACCACAGCAGAGGTACTTGATAATGATAAATGATACTAATGACAGGTAAAAGGAAGCAGTGAGAGATTTTAACAAATAAAAACACTTTTCACACATGTACGGCACAAAATTGTCAAAAGAGGGTTCGCTTTGTCAACAACACAAAGAAAGTGCGCAACAGGAGCTTTGAATTGAATTTTTTACCTAAAGATTTATGGCAGACCACTCTTTTTCAGATCATAGAACGGCTTTTAGGCTCATGCTACGACTACTGGAGTGTTGCTGCTTCTGCAACAAACAGCTGAAGCAGACGCTAACTTCTGTGACTTTCTATAATTATGATTAATTTCATTTCTTATAATTCAGCCACATAAAGAAAAAGCTTGTCTTTTTGTCCAGCCCCAAAAATGTGTTTAACGTTTTTAACATAAAGGACTATGAGTGAATTGATGCTTTGATTTTACTTTTCTATTATAAGAGAGATGGCCATCCTTGTCCGTTTCTTTCTTAGAATTACTGTTTATACATCTTGGGGCGCGCTGGTGGCGCAGTGGTTAGGGCGCGCGTCCCATGTATTGAGGCTCTCGTCTCAAGTGGTAGGCCCGGTTTCGCATCCCGCCTGTGGCCTCCTTCCGCATGTCATTCCCCCCCTCTCTCTCCCTGGTTTCCGACTCTATCCACTGTCCTATCTCTCTGCCCTTAAAGGCACAAAAGCCCAAAAATAAATCTTTAAAAAAAGAAAGAATTACTGTTTATACAAATGTTCCTGTCACAAGATGAAATTGTTTTTTACAAATTGAACATTCAATCAGACTGCAGACAAATATTTGAATATTGTGTTGATCCACAGAGGAACTGGGTTCAATAATGCCACAGCTGACTTTGGTTTCATTTCTGCAATGTTATTAATGAACTTCACAATCAGCAAATTCACTCGTTTTTTGCTGTAATATTTCTAAGACACATTCAGTAGATCCCTGCTGGACCGTAACAATGCATGTGTCCCTTTCTTTGCTCTGTCCGTCCATGGTATGACTTAGCAAAACTCTAAAAATACTTTGTTTAAAATGATATAAATGAGGATCTTCTTGAGTGATTCATCCACCACAATAAGCCTTCAAATACTCAGAGCATTTAAAGTAATATGGAAAGAGGAAGTATTGTGATTGCTTCTAAACAGAGCTTACAGTTTTCTTACAGTCTGGTTTGATTGCATTACTTCCTCTGTTTTCTGACTTGTAGCAGGGGCCCAGTGTAGCGGAGATGATGGTGTCTTTGGGGCCTACCGAGATCAGCCATCGATTGCACAAACTACTTTTGCTTTCAGAGACTGGTTAGAGACGAGACGATCTGTCACTTCAAAGACTGATTCAGAGAAGAGGCTGCTTGGTCCTGTTTGTTTTGAGATGTGTATGAGGGGAACATTTCAGAAAGAACTGTATATAACTTTAAAAATAAAACTTGAATTATAGCAGATGTTTTATAAAGTAAAGTTCTGTTTGTTTTATTTGTTTCTGTAATGTGAGCAGGTGATGAGCAGTTAAGTATGGGAAGTACCTTGGAATTTTATGCAAATGTTTAAGTGTTTTTAGACCAATTTTATTTTATCAAACTAAAACACAAAGATATATAGACACACGAAAAACAATTGTGTTTTATTCATTTGTGTGGAAAAAGGGACAAAATAACTTTTATACAATATACTTAAAAAAAAAAGAAGTAATTATCAGTTTCAGTGTCACTGTTTTAATACAACACTGAATGAATACACAGCTGTTAACGGTCTTGTTCTTGGATGCTGTATTGAGTATTGGAAGCTTTAAAAAAAAAATCTTTGATCATTTTTGTTTATAATGCCATCATTTAGTTATACTTAAAATACTGTACAAGCATATATAATATTAGATTCCAATAGGGGATGCATTGTTGAGTACATCATTAAAATGTACGAGCAGGCTATATTGTAGGTGGGTCTGTTTTAGTCCTTATTATCTTTGGTTGTATTATCGGGTTGTCTAACCAATGACTATACGTCATAAGGAAATAGGGTAACTATTGGTAACTAAAGTTATCAAATACATGTAATGAAGTTAAAAGTACAAAATATTCTTTAAAATGTACTAGACTGTAAGTAATAAGTAGCACTGATGTGTTTTTGAGTAGAAGTGGTAACAATCAGTGATACTTATATAAAAGTATTGAATGCTTGGCTGATTGGCTATAGCCTACTGTAGTTAAGTTACTGATAGGTAGATTAATTTATACCAAAGCATGTTTTATGAGCTCATCTAAAGATCTGTATTTTAACTCCTACAGTGTGACTTCTAATGTAAATTAAATTTCTGTATTAAAACTACGATATTTGCAAGTATTAGAAATAGAATCGACCTGAAAACTTAGTGAAAGTCATTGATCTTTGTGATGTTATTGATCACTGTGTAGTATAGTGCTACTGCACTGAGGGGGGTAGAGGGGGGGAGGGTGTGTGTCAGGAGTGTGACTGGGCGTGAGCGTCACATGTCGGTCGCCACAGAAAGGCAGCAGTTTGACACCTCCGCTTCCCTCAGACAAACTCAAACAGACCAGCTTCAAATATCTGTAAAAGTGCAGGAGACTGGCGGCAATGGCGACCGGTGACAACCAGGCAACTTTGGAGTTATTGTGCAGTAAGTAAAATGGGATAATACACACGTTTGTTACCTGTGTTTAGCCGCTTGTGTTTGTTTACGTTTAGGAAACTTTATCTAGCGTCACGACTCTTTGCTGACGTCACATTATCTGTCGATTATTTGTTTTTGTTTTTTTTTTTATTTAAAAAGAGGTTTGCACGTAAATTTTGTCGATTCATGAAAAGTTAAAGGGAATAAGTTTGGCATTGTGCAGAAAGTTTCACTTCGAACCGGAAGTTGGTGACACCGTGCGCGAGCTTGACGGGGTGGGTGCGCGCGTCTTTGGTGCATTTAAAAACATATTTAAAACATAGACTGTAAATATTACAAGTAGCCTGCAGTATTTCGTGTCCGTGAAGAAGAGAATATGGATGTAGATAAATTGAGTGAGATGAAACAATACATTTTGAATAAATACCAAAAAAAATAACATTCAGTAAAACAGTGAAATGTAGGCTACCTGAATATGAATGAGTAAAGCTTTCACCATTTTTTTCTAAATTTGCTCAGATGTCACATAGGCCTACTTCTTATTCTCTTTGCCTTTCTTATACTTTGTAGGTAAATTCATTAACGCTTTCTATAAGCATTTCACCCACAAAACAGCAGAAATAATGTTCTGTGTTTTGTTCAAACCAGTGACTATATATTTATACACAGTCAATGGTTCAAACGTACAAAAAGAGATATTAACCTGCCTATATTGATAAATGCAATTGAGAAAATTAAAATCTTGAGACAGCCAAAGTAGATCCTTTATAACCAGTATCATGAAATTGGGATCTAGTTGGAATTGACCATGTGTATTACAGTTTTGCATAAGGTAGTTATAAATCAATGTGAGCACTCTGTATTCAGTAGCCTATTGTACTTATCGTAGTTAACCTACTTTCCACACCTTTCATATATACTTTGTTGAAAACAGGCAGTGTCTGATGTTTTGGTGTCTGTGTTTCAGTTTAATTTTTTAATTAAATTGTATCTTTGTGCATATTTGCATGTATTTGATCAACATGCAGTACATTATAAAATGCTTTAAGGGCATTTATTGAAAGTTTCCCTTTTTTTTCCGGTTCCAGGTCAGGCCACAGACCCCAAAAATCAGGAGGACCGATGGGACTGCATCCAGGGATTCTATGAGCTTGTAAACAAAGAGACTGATGGGTAAACAGAAACACAGTCTTTGCACGCCAATCAAAGATTTTTATTTTATTTATGTTTTACTTACATTATTATATGCTCTCACAAAACTTGCCTGGATATTAAGATCATCTTCAGAGTATAACATGTGCTGAGGAGGCCAGTGGCAAATGTTTGAGCAAGAGTTGCTTCATTTCCATATTGCGATCACAGCTTCTCAGTAAATTGTTGTGAAAGAAGTAGGGACAGTGCTGAACCTTTCCCCCTTTCCCCCCTATTTTTTTTATATTTTAAACTCAGGCATTTTAATTTGACTAAAATCTTGATTTCCTGCTTTCAGCCCACAGGTAGCCATCCGTCTTCTCGCTCATAAGATCCAGTCCCCACAGGAGAAAGAGGCTCTGCAGGCTCTCACTGTAAGTCAGTTATCAGATTCTTCATTTCTATCTACATGTATATATTTATATGATTACATTTTTTTCCTGTTGTTGTTTTTTTTAATCCTTTTACAAGTCATTTGCAAAAAGAAGTAATATCTCACTGGTTCTGTATTTCTGTCATCATACCACAATACACATTTACATTTAATTCAGGGCTTTTTCTCAGGGTCATGTGGCATTCATTGAAAAACAAATGTCTCTGTAAACCCTGACAGGAAGGCAGTCCAGTTAAAATGATCTGTGACTAACCATCCTCACATGACCAGAGTGACGTGAAGGGTTGAATCTGCATTAGAATCTGCTTTGACACCACATAGTTTGTCATCAGTTTTAGAGACAGTGGCTGTGTTTCACCATAAAATGTAACTTGGAGAAGATTCTCGAGGTTCCAGTGACACATCAGAACACCTGTTCTTTAATCTGTGGTACTTTCCAGGTCCTGGAGGCATGTATGAATAACTGCGGGAAGAGGTTTCACAGTGAGGCTGCCAAGTTTCGCTTTCTTAATGAGCTCATCAAGGTCTTACTACCAAAGGTAATATTAATTATAGAGAGGTCTTTGATACTTCCATTCAAAAAGAGCCTACTATTTGATAATGTACTGGTTCCATTCCATTGCTGTTATATAACAATCTCAAATGAAATGTATTAAATTGTGTTAGCTGAGTACTAATGACTAAAATCTAACTATCCATGTGTCCCAGAGATGAACCTCATCTCACACTGAATGATACATTGACAAACAAACTCATGTTAAACAGGGTTTATTTTTTCTGCATGTAAAATCATGAGGTGGCTGCCTCCACCAGATTTCATGCTGCCGCCTGCTCTTGTCAAAGTCTGACGGGTGTTTAAATGAAGAACATGATTTTCCAAGAACAGCACTTGGGGAATTTGTCAGTTACTCTATAACTGCTGTAACGGTATTTAGCTGATGAAGTGGCATCGCGGTATCGTAATCCGTGTTGCCACCAACAGAGACTCCAGACTGCAATGGAGTTCATAAACATTAATGATCACCCTGAGAGTTATACAGATAATCAGTTTTCATTTTGCATCCACACTTAAAACACAAATGCTCTCTGTCTTTCTCCCTTTACATTTAGTTATTATCTAATAATATTCAGCACCCTCATGTTTGAGTTACAGCTTGTTAGCGTGGTTTTTTTTTTTCAAAGCTTCAGCTTGCCAACACATTATAAGAGAGTAGCCTACATATTGAAAATAAAGTAAAGAGTCATTACTGCCAAAGAAAGTCACTGAGGCAGAGAGAGAGAGGTAAGAAGTTCATAATGTAACAGTCAGGATTCTGTCAGCAGGTCATGGAAACACATTTTAAAAACTGTTCCAGGACTTGGGATGGTGTTGAAAGGGATATATAGAATATCTAAAGTTGTTCAATTCACAAACCAATAGAAATTCTAACTGCAATGAAATCAAAAGTCAAAAGTTCTTTCTACTATTATGATCCTTTCTAAACCTGTCTCCGGTGCCATGGGCATCATCAGACTACCATGTGAATGATGAAAATGAAAAATATCAGCTAGAATGGGACACATGACATTTATGAAGAAAGAACCAAATGTTAATTATTCAAATGAAATCAGTTTCCCTTTTCCAAAAAATAAACCAATTCATGATGAGTTGGTGCATAAGAACACACCAGAATATAAGAAATTAAGTGAGGAGGTCCTCCAGACCCATTTTTATATAAATTATTTCGCTTTTGACTGTGTAAATCAACATCCGCTTTATATTATCTTGAATTTAATTTTAAACAGGCCGTTTTTTTATTCACACTTAGATGTAAGATTTGTCATCTCTTCAATTACACACGTATTCAATTTGTTTGTTCCTCTCATTCAATGTCCTACTTTGACCCCCACCTGTGGGTTCCAGGGACTCACTACATTGAAAACCTACCAACATCACTGGTGTTGTGTAGATACATGTAAGTTAATAATGTGAGAATCTTAAAAAGGAAGAGAACACAAACCCTCTTGAAAAAGAGTAAATAAGTCATGTTTAAGCTACTTTGACTGATTGATTTTTTTCCCTGAGCAGTACTTTGGCACATGGACTCCACAGGAAGTTAAAGACAGAGTGACGGAGGTCCTTTATGGCTGGACTCTTTGGCTTAAAGAAGAACCCAAGATTCAGGAAGCCTACAGCATGCTCAAGAAACAAGGTCTGGATGCAAAAAAGACACGCACGCACGCACGCACGCACGCACACACACACAC